TATCTCTTTCAGGTCAGAGCAATGTTGTCCTGCTGCACTCATGATATTACCAATGGAAAGAGATGGTATTATAAAATTATATCCAAGCGTTCAAAGCCAAAAGATGTACGTTAATTGTATATTTTTTCAAACATATATTACTAAAATTAAATTCTTATAACTATATATGTATATATTCAATTTTCAGGTACAAGTGATTCCATGGATCCTTGAGAACAGTAACTATGTTAAATCTTCATCGCAAAGACTCGATGCGCATAAAACGGTCTTCGTTGGTGCGCTGCACGGAATGCTAACAGCTGCAGGATTAGCAAAAGTTATGGATGATCTTTTTCATGGAGTCATTTATGCGGGTGTGTAATTGTTATCATTTTATCATTTATCTCGTTTAAATATTATTTTTGAAATTTTATACATATTTTATATATTTTTTGTATATGTTTATATGTCACCTCACAATTACCTCAAATATAATCCTACGTTAAAAACTAATAAAGTTCATTATTGTAGGAATCGATACCGATAAGCATAAATATCCGATAGGTTCTGGCCGCGTTACATTCAGTACGAAACAATCGTATTTTAAAGCGATCACTGCTTCATTCATAGAAATTAAGACTGACAAATTTACGAAAAAGGTATGTCGAATTCCAAAACTATATATAAGAAAGATTATATTTAATTTATATATGTATAAAAAGATTATATATTTCTATATTTATGTTTTTTTTCAGGTACAAGTGGACCCGTACATCGAAGAATCGATATGCTCCGGATGTGTTGTACAACAAGGACATTACTTCTGTCGTGATGTGGTAAAAACAATTTAATAAATTCTATACAATTAATTTTTATAACTTAAATCTTTTCGTGTATATGTATATATTTATTTAAATTTATGCATTTATGTGTTTAGGCTTGTTTCCGGTATTTTTGCCGCAGTTGTTGGCAATGGCAACATTCCGTGGACTCAATGTCACATCATACACCCTTGACAAGGAACTCAAAGACTAATCAAGTGATAGGGTTGAATCCGAATTTCGGAATAAACAACTAACGTATGTCTCCGTATCAAATACGGACGATGATCCAAAGGAAGCGACAAGGTCTTGTACACACGCGGTCACAATTTAGTACATGCGCTTTACGTTCGCTTTGCGTTCGTTGTCTTCCTCTCTTTTTTGTTCCTTTTTGACTTTTTCGGTTAACCGACGTTGCGCCACCTGATCTAGAACATTGGGTAACAGGGTGCAGACTTAGTTTTTATCGCGGAGCCATGGACAGCTAGGACTACTCCAATGATACGGGGACACATGCCGATTTATACCGCTGATTAAGCTTGCGGATGCGCAACGATTGGTTTATTATCGTTACCGTGCGTGCGAAAGGACAAGATAAATATTAAAAAATCATGTTTATAAAAAAAAGTTCCTATTGCGAACGCAGTTCTTACTACGTTCGAACGCAAATGATGTACTTTTATTTAGTATATATGTATGTTCACTTAGAGAGACAGGTTCTCTTACCGATTCTTTTTTTTTACCGCGAAATAATACTATCGTGCCAAGTACAGTAGATGCTAGATTATAGCCATGATTGTGCATTATAAGAATACGTACATATACACATACACACGTGTATATACGTATATATAACAGACATATAGCGTATACACATTTTTGTTAAAGTCATAAGAGTCGCATTCTGGCTTTTGCAATGACAATAATTTTTTACGCGAGACAATAGGGCTCCGTTATGGTAATTTGAGCTGGGCTCAATGAAACGCATAGAATTCTCAGGAAATCTATAATAGTATCGTCATCATGCGTTTATCGTGTTAAAGTATTACGCTTAATTCAATACGAACTGTTAACGATAATGCTAAAAAAATTATTCTAAAAGTGGCGAAAGTAATTATCTAGTAATTATTTGTCATTATTATATTGCGCGCGTAATATATATTCGATATTAATGTGATATAACGGGAGACAGTATGTATAACTCGCTGATCGTTTTTCCATTACGATACTTGTCAATGACGTTAAACATTGTTAATTTTACGTTAGATTACAATGTATCTCTATATTCGATTGCAGTAGTAAACGTGTGTTGCGATTACTGACGCGCAATCGATTGAATTTTTGTATTATTAGCCGAAGCGAGCGGCTGTCATAGATATTTCGCTCATATGGACTGTTTAACGGTTGACGAAATGGAGAAGTACATGGTCTACGATTCTGGCGCGGATTGTAGGGAATTCGTTTTTATTTTTTTTTCTTTTTTTTTCTTACTATAATATGTATAATTGTGTTGCAGCTCTCTTCTTTAAATACAGTTCATCCTTTACTCGCGTTTTTCCCGTTTTGATACAATTTTGTTGAATTAAAGGCCATATTTTTGCAAATATCTGATGCCTATTTTTATTTTTTCTCTTCTGTCATAATAATTGTCAATAATTGTTTCAGCCTTATAAGTGGTGAATCGAGACAATGTATTGATGCAACATTCTTTAGATTTGCAAGAATGGACATGCCTTTCCTATCATATTTTATAACAAATTATCAATAATTTATCAAGTATTGTTTTAATCTTGCAAGTGATAAATATCATCAAGAGAGTGTATTGATACAAAATTCCTTCGATTATCATACTTTCATTGATGATATTTTATTAAGTATAATTATATATATATATATATATATATATATATATATTTTTTAATCTAACTTATTACATTTTAATTAATTGAAAAAAAATTAACTTAAGTATAATAATATTTTACACTTTGTTTTAATCTTTCTATCTTCACTAAACAGAAAAGAATGCGTTGACTGCAAGACCGAAATAGTTGAAACAATCTTTTACACACATTTCTTGATCTTATTGATTAATTCGTATTAATTCGTTTACTTTTGCGTTAAAAATATTGGAACAATATTTAACTATTTCATATTTGAGTTTTAATTGTGTGCCTGTTTCATTTGATCGGCGAATAACGATAATTAATAATGATAAATTATTAAGAAGAAAATAAAATCTAAATCGATGGAAGTAAGATTGATACTATATATTCAACTGCGCGCAATTTCCCTTGCAGTAAATATGTAAAGATCCATTACTAAAAGAAGTTTAAGACTGTTCATCTAACAAGTGATAATAATGAATTTTGGTCACAGTTAAGCATAAAGCTAATATTCTCCAAGAAACATTTCGACAATATATATACGATATAATTACATATACATATATATGCTCCGTTAAATATATCACATGTATATGATCCACTGATGTGTGGAATGATAACGTGGTTGCTACATATATAAGCAATTATTTAAAAAAAAGTGCTTTAAAATATATACTGATAAAAGTATTATATATATATATATATATATATATATATATATATATATATATATATATATATATACATACATGCTTTCTCAAAGCGTTTTGAATATATTTCAATGACGATTAATCTATAAATCAATGTGTGCAACGACAGCATTAATCGTTCAACAGAAGAAATTTTATCCGGAAACAAATTTTAATAATCTATAGTATGTTGTTTGGAAAGGTTTTAATGAGTCGTGCCTTTCAACATAATTCTCATAAATTTTTTCACATGGCAGATATAAATTATCTTTTTAGCTATATGTAAGTACCCGAATCTCTTTGGTAAGTGCCAATTATGCGTGCGTTCTACGCCCAATAGCCTTCAAATTTTATATATATATAATTATATAATTAAATGACTGATTCTGAGAGAACGATTGATAGATTGTATGCTTGAATTCTATTAGGATAAATTGTTTAATTAATAAAATATGAAGCTCTTTCTGAAAACTGTATAAGTACGTTCAATTATCATTTAGGTATGCTAAAGAATTCTAGGTCATGTAACATCAATTGGAGAATGATAGTACGAGAGAATAAATATGATATCACGATATATTTTTTAACGACATTAATTAATTTAACGACGATTAATAGACGATTAATATTGTATTACTTAATGATTGATATATTTAAACAGTATAATAATATATTATTATTTTCACTGATTTTGAATTAAGCATCATTAGAGAATATTTTTTAATGTTATATATTTACTTTTCTATATAGGAATTATTCTAATTAATATAGAATGATTAATATGTGACAGAATTTGATTACTAGGGAAAAAGATTGTTGTCACATAATGTTTGAAAAATGTTAGCTTTTAAAGGAATTAGACAAAATGTTGCACTGGTTAATCTAAGCATATAATTATATTTCAATAAAAGTGCTTATTTTAAAACAAGCTATTTTTTATATAAACTGTTAAGTTTATAGTCGATCAATATTAGTATAATAAAATCTAAATTGATTTGTGGATTATATCATCGATAGATTTAAAGTATTTTATTTTAAGCTCAGGTGAAAGAAGTGTCTCTTCTATTCTGTAGCTTTTTTATTAATGACGTTTAAAAATTAATCACTGCAAAATAATATACTAATTCTTATTGATATATAACATTCTTATTAATATATAAATTAAAAAGTTTTACTCTGCTACTTGTATAAATCTGATATAGCCAATATAATTAAACAAAAAATTAATATACCCAGGTAGCAAGACGTCATTTTGCTACCTGGGTAGGTACATATTTTTCAATAAAAGATACATCCATTATGCAATTAATGTGCAATTTAAATCTTATTCAGTGTTCACGTTTGATTAAAAATGTAGCCATTTGATATATTTCAATCGTTGTATTGATTTTGAAATATATTAATATCACATCGAAAAAATCAAATTCAAAATCAATCAGTTACATCTTTAGCATGTGAATTTTTTTATTATACATATATATATATATATATATATATATATATATATATATATATATACAACATTTTGTATATTTATTTTATTTTTATAGTAAAATTTACATTTATCGACGAAATATATATAAGTAAAATATGTATAAACCTAATATAATTGATAATTTTATGTTATTATATATACAGTCCCATAATCCATATTTTTTACAATCAGTGTAACATTTTTTTACAAACGATGATAAAAGTTTATCTAACAATATTTTCAACTTTTCAGTCGTTGACTAAAAGCTTGGTAAAGCCCAATTATCGATGATATTGTGCCAAGTGCACCAATATGCCATGTTTTTAAACGGCCTCCCCAAAATACGCCTGGTGGTAAGTAACTAACCGCATAAGTAATATCCAATGCAAGACGTGTGCATATCAATACTGTACTTTGTTGTTGCTCGTTGATCTCTTTCAATGTGCTTCTATATATTCAATAGAAGGAATATATAAAGTTTACTTTTTTTCAAAGTTTTCTTAGTAATATTATCGTAAATACAGAATAATATTTAAAAAATCATAATAATATAATACTTACTGTGATGTTACATCAAGATTATTTTTTTCCAAATTTGCTTTATATTTTTGAAGCTTTTGGAATAGTCTCAATGACCTGAAATAATATTTTGTTAAATAAGGCTATTTTATTTTTTTATTATATAATAATAAAATTGCATCTACCTATAAGATGCGTATTAATAATTATTATGCATGAAACTATACTTTGCAAAAAAATTATTTTAATGTATTTTCATTTACCTAATTAAAGACAGATTTAAAGAAACTATCCAAAACCAAATTGTAACTAGGTCCCATTTGTCATTATTGATTGATATGATATTGTGGTGACCAGCCCAAGAAATATGTTCTATAGGAGAATAAATTATATCTATTACATTTTGTATCACTTGACTCCATCTAATCAACCAGTCAGGTTCCTATAATAATTAGATTATGTATGAAATTTTAATGATTTTAGAAAAAGAGTGTAAGATAAATCTACCGTACAGTATTCGTCGAATAAAACTTTCAACTATACAAGATAATATTTTAATTTTTAACAATATGAGGACAATTGAGAATTTTTAACAATATAAAGACAAAACATTCTTCTCACATTATTGTATAAATAAACATGAATTTACCTTTTTTCCCCATCCATATGACATTATGCAATGAAGTGTTGGAAGATCATCTAATAAGCGCAACATCACTCTGCATTCACTCATTTGGCTTCCAAAAGTCTTGAGTTTTCTTTCAGTATTCTTTGATGAAGTACATACAGTAAGTAACTTTGCCGAATAAGAAAGGGTTCGTAACATTTTATCTCTGCCAGAATATGTGTTCAAATAATCATTTATAAGTGAAAGATTCATTTCAGTTTCTTATATATTTACAAGTCAAAGAATTAATTAAGGTACTTTGTGATTTGTAAAATTGGCCAGTTATTTCAACTTGCTGTAACAAAAATTATAAATATTTTCATTATAAAACAAGAATGTTGTAATAGAAAGCGAAAAATAAGAAAATTGATGTTTCTGCTTACAATATAAATAAGAGGTTAGAACGAATGTCAAAGAATAAAAATCTCAACTATAATATTCAACTATAATATTCAACTATAATATTCAACTATACTATCTTTAAGAGGATAATCTTAGACGAAATTAAAGTTAATTAAGATTACAAATTTCATTTTATGCAATTTTATAAAAATGCATTAAAATTATGAATATACTTAGAATTGTATCATCTTATAATTTTTTCTTCGGAATTGCATTTTAATTAATAAAAGCATTAAAAAAAATGCACTGTATTATTTATATAAAAATAATTGTGTACTTACAAAGGATTTAAATTTTAATTATTATAAGTAAATTACTTATAATCCTTTTTATTACATGTATAACATTAGTTGTTACTATATATTCATGAGATGTCCGATCTAAAAATTTATCTATGTCACGAATTACTACCTGTAATGTCGATTTTATACGGAGTTATTGTCGCTTGCAAAATTACGCGGACGAACGCGCTCGATTAGTGAATGACAGCTAGGGTTGGGAGGGGAGAGGAAAGAGATCGTGGCTACTACACCAGAGTTGCCAAATTGTAGCGCAAAAACAGCTGTAAGCGTGCTATTGCGTCTGCAATCTGGCATCTCTGTACTATGCTCTACTACGCACAGCTGATCACTCAGTCACGTGGCTGTAAGCGAAGCATGTGACCGTGCATGACGTACGCGACATCGTGGGATCGATGTCATGCTTAAATGTAAATCAAATGTAATTCTTTTTCAATTTAAAAAGAATTATAAAATGATTTTTTTTCATTAATTGTATAATTTAATATTACTTACCTTTTAGTTTTAGCGATGTAGATGTGCCGAATATACACCTAGGTAATTATCAGAACATTATTTTGCGATATATAATTATACTATTTTAACATAATATTTTTAGAAAACGATGCAATATAATATTATTGCTAAAAGCAAGAGAAAGAAAAACGCATAAATTATAATATATAAATAAAATATCAACTTATTTTTAACAAACTCATTTATTAAAATACTAAAAGGGATCGAAACAAACAAAATCGAAAAGTTGCACATAAATATGTAATAAGAGTAGAATATTGATAGTACGAACTATATCGCGCGCGATCGTGTCTTTTTGGTTCGCAGAGACTTTGCATTCGAGGCACTATGTTCTTACGGAAACGTTCGTCGAGGAATCGAGGACAGGAAGTACATTCGAGTGGTTCGAAGCAACGATAAATTAAATCTGATATAATTATGAACAAATAGATGCTCTATAATTCGCACGATTTATTTTAAATCGTACCACAGACACAAATCTCGTACTAATGACGAGTTTTTTACGCCAACCTTGCTCCGAGCCCTTCGCTGATTAATACTTCTCGTGGAATAGAAACGGATCGGACGAAAACAACAGGAGACTCCGTATCCATGAAAGAATTGATCTATTTTATAGCATTTCATTTCGAGAAAAAAAGAAAAGGTGATTCTTATAATTATAACAAACACGTCGTCAAATACGAAGTAGATCTTTTTTCTCCACACATCTTTTTTCCGACTTTTCGCGGCGCCTGTACTTATGAGAGCCGCGAAAATAAATCCTCTCCGCCTCTACCGTTTCTCTCTTCCTTTTGTTTGTTTTATCGTTATCATTTTGAACATCATTAAACTGTTCTTTTTTTTTTAATCATATTTTCCCAATATTACTTTTGCACTCTCTCACTCTCATTCTCTCGTTTTCTCTCTCTCTTTCCTTTCGGTCGGTATCGCTCTCTTTCTATTCCCCTTTCTCTATGTATGTATCTTTAGCAAGTTTGTTGCGAAGAAATTTCATCGCGTGCGCACGCACGTTTTTCTTTTGATACAAAACATAAAAATCATTATCGTCGTCGCATCAGATCCAGAGAAAAAGTAACACTACGTCTTTAGGATCTTAACGAATTCTCCTTTCCTGGTAAAACACAGTACGGACAGACAGACAGGCAAACCGACAGACAGATAAGGAGACAGATTAAGACAAGATTACACAGACAAACGATGGACTACATTGTCGACAGTTGCGGTTTTTTTCTCTCTTTTTTTCCTTTTTTTCTCTTTCTCTGTCCTTTTCTTCTTTTCTACTTTCACATAATTTCGCGCACGCTATTTTCTTTTCCTTTCGCATATTTCTTTTTTTGTTATTTTGCATTCCTCATCGTTCTATCTCTCTCTTTTTCACATACATACTCACAGATACATGCGCACACGATGATCGCGCGCATACATTCGCACACGACTCACATAAACATTCGCACACTCACATACCGAAATTTCTCTTTTTTTTAAATCATTTTTCTCTACGTTTCTTTTCGTCGTCGATGTAGCTCCTTTTCTCCGCTTTGAACACTTTTTTGGGGAGGTGGGTACCAGACTCTGCCATTTTTTCTCTTTCCGCTAACGATTATTATACAAAATAATTAGAAAAATGTACAAAAATTCATAAAAATAGTAATAGTTACATAGTACAAGTTATTTTTGAGTAATTATAATAGTGTATGTGTGTGTAAGTGTCTGTTTTTACGTGTGAGTGTATGTGTATATATGTGACCGAGAAACGAGCATGAAAAAGTACGAGCCTACTGATAAATTGTTCCAACGAGACGGGTCGGAACGCGTCGCTGCGAACGACTTCCCAAAAGAGTCCTTTTCCTTATGGAAAACCATCTTAACAGGATGTCGCGTGCGCCGATAATTAATAAATATTAATATCGTTGCCTACGTATACACGAACACTGGATATCCCATTATCACTGATTATTCAGCTAATGGCATTCTCTTGACTTTCTAAAACTTATTCTCTAAAATTAAATACAATAGATTCTCTAATAATATCGATAATATTTATCTAATCAATCACTGTTATATATAAAATCTATTAAAAATCTACTAAGAAATTAAACTAAAATTTACACGATTATTAACGAGTTCTTTTATTAATAAAGATAATGGTAATAAATTTTTTCAAATTTCAACAAATAAATTAATGCAATAACAATATTTTGAAAGTAGAATTTCTCATCCAAATTCCTTCTCTTCTAAACGCATCCGTCATTAACAAAATATTAAGTGATAATGGTCTATCTTGTGCATGCATTTGACAACTGTGTTCTCTCTTCCGTTCCTCTATTATTCGCATTTCTTTTCTGTCTTTCTCGTTCACTCTCACTTTTCTCTCTCACACAATCTGTTTTTCGTAAGTTTATACATTTCATTATATGTACATACATTTATGTATACGCATATATATTAGCGCAAAGATGATTTCTGCTCTACTGTAACCGCATCGTGTCATGTCGGGATCGCTTTAGCTACGAAGAAAAGAGCTGAGAAAATTATTAAATATTACCATTATATATTAAATCGATAACGCGAGATCGCAGTCCTAAAAATTAATAAAAATCCAATGACATTTCTCGCAACAAATCATCGACAAAGATTGCGCGAGAGAAATATATTTTCCATCTCTTTCGCGAAGATCACATAATTCAATAAAATTTTCAAAAGGGCGTTCGATAAAAAGCATTTACATCGTAAGATACGATTCGCACGATGCGATTACAGCAGGCTGAACTTATCCTACGCGAAACCGCACGTATCACGGCCCCTCTCGCTTTTATATGCCCGCTATATCTTAACGTTATTAATGCCACGATATATATCCTCCGCGCGATTCCAACGATCAGCTGGAGCGAGCGGCAAACGTTCGCGTTCGTAGGGAAGAGAAAGTCCACGTTTCTTCCGTATTTAACGAAATACGTTCCGCGCTTTATTTATCTGGAACGCGAAAAATTGCTAGATATATGTGTACGCGAGCCAGAGATAAATCGCATTTAGCGCTAAATACGCGGGACCGGAGAATACATTCGCCAACTACCGCCGAGCATGATCGTTAACGTGAAGAGCCGTCAACACGATTTCTTTCGTTAAAAACGAGCGTTTGTTAAATACATTCATTAATCAAAATCGATCCGTGATCAACTCGAAAAAATTCCGAGTCGAATATCGTCGGGTCGCCGCTGTAAGAAATGTCAATCATCTTCTCGTTAAGGAATTTTGTAAAACTCTCGAAAGCAATACCGTATTTCGTACATAATGAACGCTAAAGTTTGATCTTAGCAGTATATTTTCATCCCCCGATTCTTTTCATTATCACTCGCGCGCGTTGACGTTAGCGTTCATCGTGGACCAAACACTCTATTGCGAAAGATCTCGGTCGCGAGAATCGGCTGCTTTACATTATCGCGCGGAATCGCACACGCAATTAATAGTTGTCAACATTCGCACACGCTGAATTAAACGTGAAACACGCGCGCACTCGTCCGTTGCATCACGCACGAAACACGTATTCAACAGCATCATACGTTATTTTCGCACGTCCGGATTACAGATCGCTTCCGTTATATTCGTCTTCGAGTATCTCTCTCTTTTTCTTTCGTTTCACATATACACGCGAATATGCATCAAGCACACATACATATACACACATAAATGTTCCTCGCGCTCTCGGTTAATATATTTATAACAATATTCTGCGACCAAAAAATAAACTCTATTATGTGTTACACGCTAATTAAGCTACGATTATCAAACGATTACGACTATGTTTTACATTTACGAAGGTTCTGTCGACCCCGAAAGAGATATATATGTATTGCGTGGGTTGCTTAGTTTGTTGGCCTGGTGCAGTGGCTCTCGTAGGATATTTTGCACGTTTTCCCTCTCTCTTATTTCTTTTTTTATCAATTTTCTATTAATATTTCCTATCGTTCGTCGAGGACGTCTTCCTCCGGACGAGACTCGAGCGACCGTTTTTGAAGGAAAGGAAGAAAAACGAGAAATCGCTGTCGAAACGAAGATACGTTTCTTTAGCTCGCGATTCAATCACGTTTATTTACACGTCAATGAGCGTGTATATGTATTACGAACGGATTTCCAATCTATTGTTCCAATTATTTGTGGACTATTCATGATTCTCGCGAAAAGTCAATCATAGTACGAAGAAGTAGAAAATTGTGCATCACAGTGTAGATATGGATCTTAAAGATCTAAATACGGAAAGAAAATGGATGCAAATTATAATGTAAAAAAATTTTTTTGTGATTTTAAAAATTCAATATTTTAACATCGATTATTTTTCTTTCTCTCTCTTCGATTTTAATTTAAAATTATTTTCTTACATCCTTTTCTGACCTTAGATCTTTCGACTCTCTCTGGACCTAGAATTAGATCCAAGAGATTCCTCTCAATCTAGATCGAGAGACTTCAAAGTTGACAAAAATCGCTGTATTATATTCCCGAGAATCGAAAAGTCGCTAAGCGAGTCGCTGACTTGCCAGATCAATCTATAGATCCATGTTTGATTATTGGGAATCGAGAGGATCTGTCCTTTTCGAATCTAAACACACGCGAGCGGAAGGGAACGCGGAAAAAATCGGAAAAGGGTGTTTGCTCTATTGCTGCTTGAGAGTATCCCTACTAGATTGTGTTTTCGCTTCCACGCCAACAACGAGTACAAAACGACGCTAAAAAGTTAATTGGGTAAATTGAGCATAGTTGAGACAGGAGCGATCAAAAGATGCGATCGACAAAGTGTGAAAAATTTGCAAAATTAATATAAAACAGGTCTCGTCTGACTGAATTGGGATGCAAATGGTTTGTCTCTTGACGATTTCGTCGATAATACAAATTGCACGA